AGATCGTCGTGTAATAATTAATATACTGTTATCATTAGTAATTCACAGAGAACAGAGGTGGGTGGAAATTATAATAGAGAGTATTACACAATAGCCGGTTAATTATGTTTTTATAGTAGTTGTTTATTATTGCTTTAAAATTTTCCAGCAGTACAAAAATTAACCATTGCCTGGCTGGTGTGGCTCAGTTGATTGAGTGTCATCCCATTTGCCAGGAGGACCCCGGTTCCATTCCTGGTCAGGCTACATGCCAGGGTTATGGGCTCTCAATCCCCAGGAGGGGGTGTGCAGGAGGCAGCCTGTTGATGTCTCGCTCTCATCAATGTTTCTCTCTTCCCCCTGTCTCTAAAATCAATAAAACCAGTTTTTAATGTTTAAAAAAATTAACACTCATTAAAATGTAATGACTTATCTACACATTGTTTTAAGTTGTTACAATTATAAAATAAAACATCAAGACTATTTTTACATTTACCAAGAAGGATAGATCATGGAAAACTGTCCTAGCTGATTTGGCTCAATGGATAGAGCATCAGTCTGCAGACTAAAAGGTCCCAGGTTCGCTGAGACCGGTTTGGCTCAGTGGATAGAGCGTCGGCGTGCGGACTGAAAGGTCCCGGGTTCGATCCGGTCAAGGGCACATACCTTGGTTATGGGCACATCCCCAGTAGGGGGGATGCAAGAGGCAGCTGATCATTGATTCTCTCTCATCAATGTTTCTAACTCTCTATCCCTCTCTCTTCCTCTCTGTAAAAAATCAATAAAATATATTTTTAAAAAAAGATTTAAAAGATCCCAGGTTCGATTCCAGTCAAGGGCACATGCCTGGGTTGCAGGCTTAATCCACACTAGAGTGGCCACATAAAATAAAAACCACAACTCATGCCCAGCCGGTTTGGCTCAGGGAAGAGGGCATCATCAGCCTGCGGACTGAAGGGTCCCGGGTTTGATTTCAATCAAGGGCATGTACCCTGGTTGCGGGCACATCCCCAGTAGGGAAAGTGAGCTGGTCGATGTTTCTCTCTCATCGATGTTTCTGGTTCTCTATCCCTCTCCCTTCCTCTCTGTAAAAAAAAAAAAATCAATAAAACATATTTTAAAAACACACACACCACAACTCATTACCATATTGCATGTTTGGTTAATGAATGGACTTATTTCACAGAAGGTAAGGAATACTAAGTGTTTCTCAATTATTTGGGCACAAAGCCCGTTTGTAGTAAACAGCTCAGTTAACAAGTCTTGCTAGGTGGATTGATTTCCAGGTTGCACCTGTTCCTATATATAAACTCTGGGGATTTGTCCAGTAGATGGTATATTGGGGACAGATGATGTACACATTTAGGAAACTGATTACACAAACTAAACTGGGGGGGGGGGAGGATCATTTGAGAGGTGAGGTATTCGTAAAAATAGAAGCTCCTGAATATGACAGAAGATCCTTGAGAAAATTCTAAGGCATTCAAGCAGTCCCGTTTGGACACTCAAGCACCAGGCAGTTGAGGACATCCAGACCTTTGCCAATAGGTTGGTTCTGGGGAAGAGACTCCAGGCAAAACCTCCTACCTTACCTCCTTCCCTCTTCCTGGAGGAGCAAAGCCCTGGTCTGCACATTCGTTAAACCGGATAACGAATAATGCAGCCAACATTTCTTTCCGTGCCCCTGAAGGTTTGCATATCGTTCGAGCACTCTGCAACTACTCTCCAGCTCCTAATAAATGTTGGAATATATAGAAAATCCTTCTGTCAAAAATAAAGTTGAAGCTGTTCAATATGCGAAGAGAAAGTTAGCTAAGAATTCAGTTGAGGTTATGAAACTGTTCATGGCATTCATAAAGATTTGCATCTTAGAACATAAGCCAAATATACACTTCGAAAATAATCTACTTCTTAAATTTTTTTTTCATTTAAAAAATATATATTTTATTGATTTTTTTACAGAGAGGTAAGGGAGAAGAATAGAGAGTTAGAAACATCAATGTTTGAGAGAGAAACATCCATCAGCTGCCTCCTACACACCCCCCACTGGGGATGTGCCCGTAACCAAGGTACATGCCCTTGACCGGAATCGAACCCGGGACCCTTCAGTCTGCAGGCCGACGCTCTATCCACTGAGCCAAACTGGTTTTGGCTTAATTTTTTTTTTTCATTTTATTGAAAGAGAGAGAGAGAGAGAGAGAGGGTGGGAGAGAGAGATTTGTTGCTCCACTTATTTATGCATTCATTGGTTGATTCTTGTATATGCCCTGACTGGGATCAAACCCAAAACCTTGGCGTAGGGGACGACACTAACTGAGCTGCCAGGCCAAAGCAAAAATCATCTACTTTTCATGATGTTTTAAGTGAAAGTAATATTTTGAGCAAAATAATGCAGGAACCCAATTCAGTGCCCTAATGAGGGCAAAGAGGGACAGAATAACAAGATGAGTACAAGTGGAAGTATGCTGTTTCCTGTATGTTTGTGTGTGCTTGAAAGCACCTTCAGTAAAAAATCCTTAAAATAGCACCTTAATGGCTGGGACAAAACATCCTCACTTTTCCCAATCTCTTAATTAATTCCTAAAGTTTAATTACTAAAAAGTGTCTACAAAAAAAAAAAATCTAGGTTCCTAGGGAGCTGGGAGTTCCTGTTGTATGGCCCTCTGTAGATGCCAGGACCCTGCCACACCTGCCACACCTTAGACTAGATCAGTGGTCGGCAAACTGCAGCTCTCGAGCCACATGCGGCTCTTTGGCCCCTTGAGTGTGGTTCTTTCACAAAATACCATGTATGGGTGCCCTGAACAGTGCGATTGAAACTTCATGGCTCCTGCGCAGAAGTCGGTTTTCGGCTCTCAAAAGAAATTTCAGTCGAGCCGAAACCGGTTTGGCTCAGTGGATAGAGCGTCAGCCTTCGGACTGAAAGGTCCCAGGTTAGATTCCAGTCAAGGGCATGTACCTTGGTTGCGGGCACATCCCCAGTAGGGGGTGTGCAGGAGGCAGCTGATCGATGATTCTCTCTCATCGGTGTTTCTAACTCTCTATCCCTCTCTCTTCCTCTCTGTAAAAAAATCAATAAAATATATTTTAAAAAATTTTAAAAAGAAAGAAATTTCAGTCGTTGTACTGTTGATATTTGGCTCTGTGGACTAATGACTTTGCCGACCACTGGGTCTCCACTTGATTACCTGCAATGAGGAGCTTTCTATCTGACATCTCACAACCTCCGAAAATACCTGGAAGTAACCAGATTGAAGATCACACATGCCCAGACACACACATGGTCACACACACACACACACACACACACACACACACGCATGCACGCTCACACTTGCACACACACATTCAAACTCACACGAGAATGAGCTGCTCTGCCGACCCTTCAGCCTCAACCTGTGGATCAGGGAGCCACTGTGGACACCACCTTCCACTAAGAACCCTGCCCCCTTCCTGGGCCAGCCTCCACTCCCAGGACCCTTGGCTCCACCCTCACCTGTGTGGCCACCCCGCACCTGTGAACCTGGGGCAGGGACAGGAGAAACAGGAATAATAATTTGGATGCAAAGCAGTTTGGGGGAAGTGGTGCCTAATGGGAGGGGCGGGGATTTGGCAAGAGGGGAGGGAGTCCAGAGCCCTGTTGAGTGTCCTGTAGTTCCTGGGATCCGCTGTCGAAGAAAACTTACCCCAACAAAGTTAAACAGGCCTGGAGACTTCATTCAGACCAGGGCAATCGGGGAGAGAGGCTGAGCCCAAAGCCAGGAAACAAAAGGGGGAAGGGTTTCCAGTCCTGGATGGGCTCAGGGTGAAAAAGTTGCTGGAGGATGAGCAGAGGGAGCTCGGTCCACGGGCTGTGCCCAGCTCGCCGCATCATTCCTGAGTCAGGTGTTTGTCCCTGTCATTAGGCCTCTGTGCGTGCTAATTGTCACTTGTTCCCATGCAGCTCCTGCCCTCCCACGGAGCTGGGAGACAAGGGTGCTATCTTCCTGGGTGAGGACATTCCAAGGGGTGGCTCCCAGATCCCTGAGAAAGGCATCCTGGGTGCAAAACTGGCCAGAGGCTGGGCGAAGATCTACCTACATTTCAAAGGGACAGACAAAGCATTTGCAACAACGAGTTTTCTGAAGTAAACGCTCTAGGAACAGGAAGGTCGGGGCCTGTACTGAGAGTCAGGAAGAAACCTGTGTGAAATGTAGTCAAGCTCAGGGGACGGGGAAGGCTGTCCTGGCCACCGCCATTATGTCAGCTCTGTCCCATCCATTGTGGGCCTGTGACCTTAGGTCTCTGAATGCACCCAGTGCCCACCCTGCACAGAGAGTGGGTGTGATGCCTGCAGGCAGCTCCTCCAAGCGGGGAGGGCTGACAGGGGGTCTGGGCCCCAGCTCCGACTGCCTGCAGGGACACCACCTGCCTGTCCCCATCGGCCCTATGTGTGATGTCCACACGGGTCTGTGTGTGTCCTTGGGGGACAGTGTGTCCCTCTGGCTAGCTGCCTCTCTATCTCATCCAGTTTTTAAAACTCATTCACTTAATGATCTAATAAACACTTACTAAATGCCTTCTGTGGGCATGTCCTGTCCGTCGGGGTGTCACCCCTCTTTTACCTTCACATCTGTCCACGTTGTCTTTCTACATGCCATGCGTGACTCTGAGTCTTTCCCTCTCCCCCTTCCCCTCCCCCCTCCTCCTTCCCCTCTCCTTCCCACCGCCTTCCCGTCCCTCTCCCTTTCCCTCTCTCTCTCCCTCTTTCCTCTCCCTCTCTACTCCCTCTCCTTCTCTTTCTCTCTCCCCTCCCTCTTCTTCTCCCCCTCAATTGACACATCCCCAAGAGCCCAGGCTTCCTCCTGGCCCCACCATGAACGCCTAGGAGGAGGCCAGCCCTAGAGAGAGAGGGCGGGGGTGGAGGAATCCTGCCAGGCCAGGGAGCTGGGATGCCTGGAGCAAGGCGGGGAGAACTAGCCCGGCAGAAGTCAAAGCAGGAGGAGCTGTCCACGGTGTCTGCTGAGCTCCACGGCCTGGCAATGGGAGTCCCCAGAGCCATCCTGCTCTGCCTCTTTGGGTCTGTTCTCTGCCTGACAGGTAGCCAGACTTCTCAAAGTTAGCGCCCGGCCTAACTGACAAGAAGGGCCTGGTGGGGACCTGGACTCTTGGGTCTGAGGGAGGAGGGCTGGGGGCCTGGACTCTTGGGTCTGAGGGAGGAGGAGCTGGGGGCCTGGACTCCTGGGTCTGAAGGAGGAGGGGCTGGTGGGGACCTAGACTCCTGGGTCTGAGGGAGGAAGGACCGGGGGGGGGGGGGACCTAGGCTCCTGGGTCAGAGGGAGGAGGGTCTGGGGGCCTGGACTCCTGGGTCTGAGGGAGGAGGGGCTGGGGGCCTGGACTCCTGGGTCTGAGGGAGGAGGGGCTGGGGGCCTGGACTCCTGGGTCTGAGGGAGGAGGGGCTGGGGGGAACCTGGGCTCCTGGGTGTGAGGAAGGGGGGGCTGGGGGCCTGGACTTCTGGGTCTGAGGGAGGAGGGGCTGGGGGCCTGGACTCCTGGGTCTGAGGGAGGAGGGCTGGGGGGAACCTGGGCTCCTGGGTCTGAGGGAGGAGGGGCTGGGGCCTGGACTTCTGGGTCTTGGCTATGGAGAGGCCTGGAGACTGTGTCCCCTCTATTTATGTCCCCCATCAGTCATTTTCTCCATCTATCTGCCTGCCTTTCTCATCCTGCTTGCCCATGATCCCACCCCAGGGCACTCGGCGAGTCGCGGGTGCTCCTTACAAAGCTGTCAGGGAACTTGGCCTCATCCTCAGGCACCCCCTCCCCCGGTGTGGGTAAGAACAGGGCCACAGTCCTTACACGACCGGCGCTGAGAGGTGGGACGGAGCTGAGTCTGCACAGCTGGTGGGGTGCGCTCCTCCAGGGAAGACAGGCAGCGTGTGTGTCTGTGTGTCTGTGTGTCACTGTGCCGGGGCGGGGGGGAGGGTCTGAGCTAGTGTGTGTGTTCCTCCGGGTCAGGTTCTGATGCCTGAGTGTTTGAGCAAAGGCTTTGATGGTGTGTTTATCTCTCACTTCACTTGTTCATGTATAGTCTGTACGCCCGTGTCTCTCTTTGTATTGACGCACCTCTGAGACCGGCAGGCCTGCATTTTTCTCTGTGCATATGTGTGCACGTCGCTCTGTGTACCTCTCTCTCATGGCTCCATCTGTCTCGTATCGATGGCTTCAACGTGTACGTTTTCGAGGGTCTTTTTCACGGACCTCTCACTGCGGAACTGTGGTCTCTGTGCGTGTGTCTGGTATGGCTTCCTGTGTCGGGTTATTGGTCCCACAGCCACACGTTTTTCTGTGTGTGAGTAGGATTTTGCGTGTGTGAGGTGTTGTGCCGTGGCCTGGGGGGTGGTTCTATGGAGGGCCTGGCGGGGTTGTTTTGCGGGTGAATGGATGCCTTCAGGATGTTCTGACCGTCTGTGAGGTTTGCAAGAGCCTGCCAGTTTTGTTCCTTTGCATTTATGTCCATGTGTAGGGGTTCTGTGTGCGCATCCTGGGGCTGGTGGTGGATGTGGAGTTCGAGATCACACATCGGCTGCCTGGACGGGAGCATCTGTTTTCCATCAGCGGCCTTTCAGTGCAGCTGGGAGAGGGACAGGCAGAGCAGGAGTGAATCATCTCCTCCAGTTGAAGTCTTAGAGAGACTCCTGGGAGAGTCCAGACCTGGATCAGCCTGGGGGGCAGGGGGGCGGGGGACTGGACTGGCAGGTGCCGTCTCAGGCCTTGAGTCTGGCTCTATGTAGAACAGCCATGACCAGTGGTGACAGCAGACCCTGTCACCCTCAGAGGACAGCCTGAGGGGTGGCTGTCATGTGCAGGGTGGAGTCCCCAGTGCCTGGGACAGGGGCATCCCTGGCCTGCTCCTCTCACCCACCCTGCTCCTCTCCTCAGGGTCCCAAGCCCTGCAATGCTACAGCTTTCAACACATCTACTTCGGGCCCTTTGACCTCAGTAACCTGAAACTCCCCAGCATCTCCTGTCCCGATGGATGCTCGGAGGCCGTCCTGTCGCTGGACACTGGTGAGGGGCAAGGAAGTGGGGAAGAGAGAAAAAAAAGAAGGGCGTGCAGAAGAGAATGGGGTTGGGGAGACAAAGACCAGGGTGAGAGCTTAGGGAGGGAGGGGAGGAGCGGAAGGGCTGGAGGAATTGTGTAGAAGGAAGTGGGCAGGAGAAGGACGGAGTGGGAGGTGGAGGAAAGGGAGGAGAAGGAAGGCGCGGATGAGGGTGCGGGGAGGAGGAGGAAGGGAGGGAGACTGAGCCGCGGAGGAAAGGATTGATGAGGACAGGAGAGGGGAAGGGTGAGGGGAGGAGGCGGCCGGGGAAATGGAGTTAGAATGGGAGAGAGGGGGGATGGAAGGCAGGAGGGAGAAGGAAGGGAGAGAGAGGAGCGGATGGGGAGACTGGAGCCTAGAGAGGGACAGAGGGAGAGCGGAGGGCGAGGAAGAGGAGGGCGAGGAGGAAGGCGGGGAAGAAGCGCGCACCGGCCCGCCCCTCCCGCCTCAGGGTACCGCGCCTCGGTGACCCTGGTGCAGAAGGGCTGCTGGACCGGCCCGCCCAGGGGCCAGATGCAGTCCAACGAGGACGCGCTGCCGCCCGACTACTCGGTGATTCGCGGCTGCACGACTGACTGGTGCAACGCCGCCTACATGACCCACGACACCGTCCCCAACCTGAGCCCAGGTGCGCGGGGGCCGGGCCGGGCCGGGGCCGGGGGCGGGGGTGGGGTCCCGGGGCGCCTCCCCGCTCCCGGGCTCTCGGGCCTCCGCAGCCGGCGGGGCGGGCGCCCGGGGGCGGTGCGCGATCCGCACGCCCGCGGGGGGACCACCCGCTAAGGGGGTGTCCGCGCTCTCTCCCAGCGCCCAACCCGCCCACGCTCAGCGGCACCGAGTGCTACGCCTGCGTGGGGACCCGCCCGGAGGACTGCGCCCCGAGGAAGTCCCGGCGGGTCCAGTGCCACCAGGACCAAAGCGTCTGCTTCCAGGGCAACGGCGAAATGAGCGTTGGTGAGAGGCTGAGCGCGGGGGCGGCTGGCGGCGGGCAGGCCGGAGGGTGGAGGCGCCGGCAGCGCAGCCGGACGGGGAGGCAGGGCCCTAAGGAAGAGCTGCGGTCCCCTCGGAGGGAGAAGGTGCCTGGTCTGGAGGGAGAAGGCATGGTCCTGGCCTAAGGAGGAAGGCGTGGCCCGATCTGAGGAGGGAGGCGTGGCCCGGTCTGAGGAGGGGGCGTGGCCCGATCTGAGGAGGGGCGTGACCCTGGTCTGGAGGGAGAAGGCATGGTCCTGGCCTAAGGAGGAAGGCGTGGCCCGATCTGAGGAGGGAGGCGTGGCCCGGTCTGAGGAGGGAGGCGTGGCCCTGGTCTGAGGAGGGAAGAGTGGCTCGGTCTGCGGAGGGGGCGTGGCCCTGGTCTGAGGAGGGGCGTGGCCCGGTCTGCAGAGGGGGCGTGGCCCAGGTCTGAGGAAGGAGGCGTGGCCATGGTCCAAGGCGGGGGCGTGGCCCGCTCTGAGGAGGGAGACTGGGAATGAGTTCGTGGACCCACTTGTGGCCCTGACTGACTTCCTTCAGTTCTGACCCCTCCTCACTGCCATCTCCCCGCCCCCCCAACCCTCCCCAGACAATTTCACGGTCCCTGTGTACATCAGAACCTGCCACCGGCCCTCCTGCACCATCATGGGCACCACCAGCCCCTGGACAGACATCGACCTTCAGGGCTTCTGCTGTGAGGGGCCACTGTGCAACGGCGGCTCCGTGACCCAGCCCTTCACCATCGCCTCGGCCACCGCGCCGCCCCTGGCCCCGCACTTCCTGGCCCTGCTCCTCGCAGTTCCTCTGCTGGTGGGCACGCTGGGGGGACCCCTCTGCCTCTCCCCATAGGCAGCCCCTCCGGCCTCTTCGTGAGCAGGATGCTGGGGGCCGGGCATCCCCTCTCCCCACTGCTTCAGCCCCTGCAGTGTGGGAAATGACAAAAATATAGCTTCATTCCTGTCTCTCTCCCTTGCACTTCCCTGTGCTGCCCCACCTTCACCTGCTCAGCAGGCCTGCCAGAAATGGGGTAAGGTCCCCAGCTTCCCAGGGTGGGGAGACACAGCCACATCCTACACGTCATGAAGAGCAAACCTGACAATAGATATTATGTGCTGAGCACCAGCGAGGCCCAGCACCCCACGACCGACTCCCTGTGCTCCCAGCTAGGGCCGCTCCGGCAGGCAGCCACGATGATGTCTTTATTATCATCAGGAGAGGCTCCAGAGGCAGTTATAAAAGTTCAGAGCCCAGCTCCGGACCAAGCCGAATGGGGTTCCAGTCCCAGCTCTACCTTTTAGCCGGTGGGGAACTTGGGCGCGTTACTTAACCTCCTGCACCTGCGTTTCCTCACCTGTAAGGCAGAAGTGACAATAAAACCTACGATGCCCTGATCCGTTTGGCTCGGTGGATAGAGCGTCGGCCTGTGGACTGAAGGGTCCCAGGTTGGATTCCGGTCAAGGGCATGTACCTTGGTTGTGGGCACATCCCCAGTGTGGGGTGGGCAGGAGGCAGCTGATCAATGTTTCTCTTTCATTGGTGTTTCTAGCTCTCTATCCCTCTCCCTTTCTCTCTGTAAAAAAAAAAAATCAATAAAATTGCCCGGACCAGTTTGGCTCAATGGATAGAGCGTCGGCTTGAGGACTGAAATGTCCCGGGTTCGATTCCAGTCAAGGGCATGTACCTTGGTTGCGGACATATCCCCAGTAGGGGGTGTGCAAGAGGCAGCTGATCGATGACTCTCTTTCATCGATGTTTCTAACTCTCTATCTCTCTCCCTTCCTCTGTACAAAATCAATAAAATAAAAAATAAAGAAATCAATAAAATATATTTTTAAAATAATAATAAAACCTACGATGATGACAGAACCTGCTCCCCAGTGGTTGTGGTTGGGATTTAAACGAGCTGAGCGTGGAGCGCCTGGGACACAGCTGTCAGCCAGCACAGGTGGGCTCTGGTCACAAACCCTGTGTGACCGGTGAGCAGACGAGGTGGGAGCACTTGCTCAGCTCGTGTAGCTCGTGCACGATCAGGAGCGTGACTCCCAGTCTCGTGAACCACCAAGCAGCCCCACCGCCCCAGCACATGGTGCTCCTTCATTTGGCAGAGACACAGGTGAGGCAAAGCTGAATTAGGCCTCCCTCCAGACCAGGGCCACGCCTCCCTCCTCAGATCGGGCCACGCCCCCGCCCAGGCCATGGTCACGCCCCCTCCTTAGACCAGGGCCACGCCCTCCTGATGGAGATAGGGAAGGTGTCCTGGAGGAAGTAAAACGTACTCAAACTCCTACAGGGTAGAAGGCATTGGCAGAAAGAATAGAGGGAAGGTCGTTCTGGGAGCCTGGGCAGAGATCCCGATGCAGGAAGGAGCCCCCAGGGTATGCAGGACACTCCCACGAGCACATGAACTTCACTCTCTGGTGCGCATGCTTTTCAAGGTCCTTTCGCATCCTTTCCCCCACGTGGTCCTCCCCATTTCCCAGTGAGGCAAGCAAGAAGGGGAGTTGCACCCCCATTTCTCAGACAAGTTGCCCAGGGCACAGTGAGAGGGTGTGATTTTGGCGTAAGTGGCAGAGCAAGGATGGAACACCACACCTTCTCACGGTCCCTCAAGAGGCAGCCTTGTGGGCAAAGGGCATCTCAGAAACACTGCCACCCGCCTGTGAGGTCCAGGGGAGAAGGATTCCAGGTGTTTCCACATCTGACAGGCGAGCCAATGAGAGGTGGACATAGAAGGGGAAGCTGGTGTCATCACTCACTCTCATCACATTTACTGAGCACCTGCTGTGTGCCAGCACTGCTCTGTTTGCGGGGCATACGGCGCTGAACAAAAAGCAAACGTCCTGACCGTCAGGGAGCTGACCTTTCCAATGGGGAAGCTGACTTGGATTTCATTGCGAATGTGGTTTGAAGCTGGGAGGGCCAGTCTGATTGCCAGCTCGGCTAGGCGACCGTCTGTCGGTCATCCAAACACTAAGCTCTGTGTTGCTGCAAAGGTGTTTTGTAGACGGGATAGAAGTCCGTGATCAGTGGCTTTGAATGTGGGAAGTTATCCTATATCATCCAGCCGGGCCTCATTCAGGCAGGTGGCAGGGCGTAAGGTTTCCTGGAAAAGAAATCTGCCAATGGACAGCAACTTCAGCCCATGCTCGAGAATGCCAGCCTGCCCTTCCAGACAGCCTGCCCTATAAGTTTTCAACTCTGGCCAGCCCCACAATCACAGAAGCCACTTCCTTGCATTAAATCCACACACACACACACACACACACACACACACACACACGTATCTGCAACTAGTTCTGTTGTTCTGATTGATCCAAGACTGATACAGAATCCTTTGGAGGATTAACATAAGGAGGCAGGAAGGAGCCCCCAGGGTGTGCAGGACACTCCCATGGCCAAATATATATATATATATATATATATATATATATATATATATATATATATATATATATGTAATTATATATAACGATACAATATGTGTATATGTTACATATACATAATGTAAATACATATTATATTATGGATATTATACAGTATACTAGAGGCCTGATGCATGAAGATTTGTGCAAGAATGGGCCTTCCTTCCCCTGGGGTGCCTGCATCACCTTTGCTCTGGCCCAGAATGGCTTTTCTGCCTTCCCACACTGCCCAGAGGCCTGGAGTGGCCAAGGGTGGTGTGAAATGACTGCATTGTCACCATGGCTGCGACGCAAGCATTCCGCCCCACCCTGGTTGCTTAACACCTGCATATGCAAATCAACCCACCATCTTTGTTGGGTTATTTTGCTTAGTCACTCCTGATTGGCTGGTGAATGTCGTGAAGGCATGGTCAATTTGCACCTTTCTCTTTTATTAGTGGGGACATACTATCGTATTTACCTATATAATAAAGATGGAATATGCTAATTGACCCTCACACTTCATAAAATATGATGGCATCCACAGCCAATAAGGAGGGGATATGCTAATTGACTGTCACATCCTCAAATATGGCAGCACCCATAGCCACAAGATGGCAGTGCCCAGTTCCCTCAGCCCCGGCTGGAGTGGCAGGAAAGCCTAGTTGCTCCATGCGCCTGCCTCCAGAGTCCCCCAGGCCCCTCAGTCCCCAGGCACCCAGGGCCAGCCCGAGGCACAAAGCCAGCCTGGATATCTGCTGCCTAGCTGCCCAGGGCCACCTGGGGCTCAGGTAACCAGGGTTGGCTGAGGCTTGTGCTGCTGGCAGTGGCAGCAGCAGAGATGTGATGGGGCATTGCCTTCCCCTGATGGCCTGGTTGCCTCCCACCCCTGAGGGCTCCCAGATTGTGAGAGGGGGAGGCTTGGCTGAGGGACCCCCTGCTCCAGTGCATGAATTTTCATGCATCGGGCCTCTAGTATATGATAATTACATATAACTTTTTCATCAAGGAATAAAACACATACAGTAAATGCATAAAGTGCAATGTTTCTGTGTGTATACATCTAAGTAACCTCCACCCAGATCAAGATACAGGACATTTTTTGCCCCCACCTCAAATCCTCCCTCCTAGCCCTTCCCAGGCACTTTCCTACCTCAGAGGTACCCATTGCTCTGACTTCTGTCATAGGTGAAGTTTGCCCACTTTTGTATTTCATATCAATGGAGTTCTTCAGCATGGTCTGCTGTGTGCATGCTATAGATTTTAAAAGGATCCCTATGGCAAGAACAGAAGCAGAAGCCGCTGAGTGTCTGCTGTACCAGTCCAGGCATGTGATGATGGAGGAGGCCACAGGGGTGCTGAGAGGGGTAGGAATGGGATAGATTTGATGGTGGAGCTGACAGGACTTGATACGTTGGTGGAGGCGTGTGAGGGGAAGAAAAGATAAGACTACTTCAAGGTTCTGAATGATGATGCTATTTAGCAAATGGTGATGCTATTTAGCAAAGAGAAGAACATATGGGCACGAGTGAGAAACAACAGGGGGGTGTGGGGGAGTGTTGGCCCTGGCCTGTGTGGCTCAGTGGGTTGAACAATATCCCATGCACCAAGAGGTCACTGATTCAATTCATGCCTGGGTTTCAGGCTTGGTCCCCAGTAGGGGATGTGCAGGAGGCAGCCAATCAATGTCTGTCTGTCTGTCTGTCTGTGTGTGTCTCTCTCTCTCTCTCTGAAAAATCAATACAATAACATTTTCAACCAATAAAAACATTAACAAACAGTGGGGTATTGGACATGTTGAATCTGATTCTGTTTAAACTAGGGCCACTTTGGTTTGCCGTGGAGCAGTGGCCCCATCTCCCCCTTGGTCGTTAGCCTCAGTCACTCAGCGATGAGGGCAATCCTCTGCCTTCCTGCTGGTGCAGTGGCGTGAGGACCCACAGGGCCAGGGGGCAGTCCCACTTCCAGTTCCGGGGACCCATCGCGTCCTCTGGTGGAAGCAATCCTCGCTGGGCACCAGGACCCCCAAGCCAGCTGCACCCCAAGTCACGGGGCTGGGAGGCAGCAGTTCTGCAGTTGGGCTTGGGTGGAATCATGACGGGAGCCCTGCCACCCCTGGCCACCCAGACCCATGTGCTCGGGTGACACGGGGGTCAGCTCCTGAAGCACGGGCCACCTCCTGAGACACCACCCCAGCTTTTGAGGGTAGTGGCAACAATAACGGAGTCATTCATTGTTTTACCGGAGAAGCTCCTCCTGGGCGATGGGGTGTGAGGAGAGACCAGTGAGGCCCATGGCGTGAGCCCGCGGCCACACGTCATTTGCTTGGTAATGGGTTCCCTGGTAAGAGACACATGAAAACATGCTCAAAGTCACTAATCATCTGAGAGATGCAAATCAAAACAACAATGAGGTACCATCTCACACCATGAGAATGGCTATCATCAA